ACATGAACACATTTCAACCATGCGCATGAGCACATTCCAACCACACACATGAACACATTTCAACCATGCGCATGAACACATTCCAACCATGCACATGAGCACATTCCAACCACACACATGAGCACATTCCAACCATGCACATGAGCACATTTCAACCATGCACATGAGCACATTCCAACCATGCACATGACCACATTCCAACCATGCACATGAGCACATTTCAACCACACATGAGCACATTTCAACCATGCACATGAGCACATTCCAACCATGCACATGAACACATTTCAACCATGCACATGAACACATTCCAACCATGCACATGAACACATTCCAACCATGCACATGAACACATTCCAACCATGCACATGAACACATTTCAACCACGCACATGAACACATTTCAACCATGCACATGAACACATTCCAACCATGCACATGAGCACATTTCAACCATGCACATGAGCACATTTCAACCATGCACATGAGCACATTCCAACCATGCACATGAACACATTTCAACCATGCACATGAGCACATTCCAACCATGCACATGAACACATTCCAACTGATCCTGGGCGGAAAGCAGACTGCAAGGGCAGCCAGTCTCCTCAATGTTCTTTCTAAATCCCTGACTCATAGGAGATGCTCACACACCTCAATGATTATATAAAGTCACTAAGTATGATGGTGTTTTGTTATACAACTCCAGTAGCTGGAACAGCATCATGCTGTTATTAAATTAAAATATTAACAATGCTTAAAGCAAAACCAGAAAATTAAATTTCTCAGCTATTAGTAAAGACTAATAGGGAACTTGTTTTTAAGGAAACAGCAGATTCAAATATATAAAGGTGGGGGGATCTTTTTTACTTGCCTGAAGGTATGATAGGTACAAGAACAGGAGTTAAAATCTCAGACCCAAAAAAACTATACTAAAGTCTGGAGCCTAGAAAATAGCTCTTAATTAAGATAGTGTGGTGCTCTGAATAGGAATGGTCCCCACAGACTCATACGTTCAAACTCTTGGCCTATGGGAATGGTACTATTAGGGGGTGTAGCCTTGTCCAAGTAGGTGTGGCCTTGTTAAAGGAAGTGTGTCACCGTGGAGGTGGGCTTTGAGGTCTCCTATGCTCAAGCTCCACCCAGTGTGGAATCTAGTCTCCTCCTGGCTGCTTTTGGATCAAGATGTAGAACTCTAAGCTCCTTCTCCAATACCATATCTGCCTGCATGCTTCCTGTCACAATAATAATGGACTGGAACTCTGAAATTGTAAGCCAGCCCCAATTAAAAGTTTTCCTTTATAAGAGCTGACTTAGTCATAGTGTCTCTTCAAAGCAATAAAACCCAAACTAAGACAGCTAGGAAAAACTTGAGCTGGAGAGATCACTCAGCAGTTAAAAGCACCGGCTGCTCTTCCAGAGGATTCAGGTTCAACTCCTAACAAACACATGGAAACTCACGACTGTCTGTAACTCTACTTCCAGAAATTGACAACTTCTTCTGGCCTCCCTGGGCACCAGGACACATGTGGTGCAGACATAAATTCAAGCAAAACATCTACATGCATAAAGAAAAATTATTGAAATAGGCTAAAATATTCAGTAAAGAAAGGGATAAGAGCTCTTAGGTCAGTGGCAAACAATCCCTGATTAAATTAAATGTGGAAAATTAGTTCACAGCCATTAAAAGAATGAAACACCAATGGATTCTAGAGCATTGATTAACCCTGAAACAGTGTACTAGATGGAAGAAGTGGAATCCAGACTGCACAGTATGACTCCATTTGAATGAAATGTCCACTATAGGGATGTGTGCAGCCAGAAGAGTCTGATGAGGGAGAACTGACAAGAGCAGAGGAGCAGAGCAGCAAACACTAACGTATAACAGTGTCACCTCTCTGAGGTGACAGGAATTGATTTTAAATTGACTATGACAATAGTTGCATGTATGAATAAATATACTAAGTCACTGAGTCATACTTCAGGTCAGCAGTTCTCAAATTGTAGGTCAGGACCCCCTTGAAGGTTGACACAACCTTTTTACAGGGGTCCTCTAAGAACATTGGAAAACACAGATATTTATAATTTATAACAGCAGCAAAATGACAGTTATGAAGTAGTAATGAAAATAATTTTATGGTTAGAAGTCACCACAATATGAGGTGTTAAAGCATCACAGCATCAGGAAGGTTGAAAAACCACTGCTTTAGGTAAACGATTAGGGATATGTACACTATTTTCATTTGAGACTCAATACAAACATTTACTCAAGAGGGAACCAATGACAGGACCAAAGTAATGATACCACCAAAGTCCAATCTGGTAAACCAATGAGTTTATTAGAGTTATTCACAAGAGTATAGGTAAAAGGGCAAGGGTAGGGCAGGGACAACTCAAAGACAGTAACATCACCAAGAGCAGGAACCCTGGAGTTTATTATACTACTTGCAGAGAGCTCAACAGGTCAGAAAATTTCTCCTTCAGGCAGGTCTGAGTCTCTTCCAGGCAGCAGGCTAGTCTGTTCTCCTCAGCAGTTCTTACTGTTTATGTAACCTTGGGGGAAAGGAGGAGAAACAGACAGACCATTTGAATCTGGTCAGTTTCAGGGACTTCCTGTGACTTATGAGTTGCCTGTAGTTCTATGTTTAGGGCTAAGGCCCCATAAAATTTCCATCTTTCATATTAGTATATCTTTTGGTGTCATCCTTGTTCAGGCCTTCTTTAGGCAGTCATGCTGATGAGATCTCATGCATTTCATCATGTCTACTCTGATATTTCTAGGAAACAAAATGTGACAGCAAATTCCCTAATCCTTTGGTTCTTACAACCTTTCTGCTTTCTTCCACTATGATCTTGAGCTTTAGGTACAGGAGTTGGGTTGTATCAATTGGAGCTGGGCACTACAGAGGTCAGCCCTTAAGTCAAATGTTACAGGTAACTGTACCGACTGAGCAGGTTGTGTTTATGTATCTAGAAATATACACACACACACACACACAGAGAGAGAGAGAGAGAGAAAGAGAGAGAGAGAGAGAACAATTAAAATAGAGGCCATAAATTTGAGAGCAGGGAGATCACAGAGAGGAAATCAAAGGGTGAACACAAAATAATTATATTTTAATTTCAAAAACTAAAAAATTAACATAAAAAATAATAATAAACATGAGTAAAACAACCCCCCCAAAAAAGGCAAACACCACCAAACACTCAAACACTGCTCTCACTGCTTTCAAGATTTTTAAGACACTGTTCTCCTGTATTTTAGACCCTAGAACTAACTCTGTGTGGTGGTGGTGGTGGTGGTGGTGGTGGTGTGTGTATGTGTGTTTGTAGGATATTGTGGACAGGTGTGTGTGTACACTTGTGCATGTACACTGGTGCCAGAGGTTTTCCTGTCACTCTCCATCTTGTTTGAGGCAGGGTCTATCCCTGAACCCAGAGCTCATCTAGTGTTCACACTGGCAAGTCAACAAGCTCCTTCTCACTCATCCTGTCCTAACCCATGCTGGAGTTACAAGTGCATGCCAGCACACTCATTCTGGGATGACACTAGGATGTGAACTCTTGATCTTTACACAGAGTTGCAGGCACTTTTCCATTGAGCTTTTTTGGGATTTGTTTTGGGACTGGCTTGACACACAAACTAGTTACCTGAAAGGAGGAAACCTCAATTGAGAAAACTACTCCATAAGATCCGGCTGTAAGACATATTCTTAACTAATAATTGATGAGGGAAGACCCAATCCATTGTTGGTAGTGCCATCCCTGGGCTGATGGTCCTGGGTTCTACAAGAAAGCAGGCTGAGCCAGTAAACAGCACCCCTCTAAACACTCTGCATCAGCTCCTGCCCCCAGGTCCCTGATCTGTTTGAGTTCACATCCTGACCTCCTTTAATAATGAACAGTGATATGGAAGTGTAAACCAAATAAAACCTTTCCTCCACAACTTATTTTCTGTTTGTTTTGGTTTTAGTCATAGTGCCTTATCCTAACAATAGAAACCCTAATTAACATGGTCAGTGTCTCACTATGTACCCCATTATAGCATGACACATGGAACCCTCTTGCCTCCGCTTTCTAAGTGTTGGGATTATAGGCATGCATAACTAGACCAGATGCAATGCTAGAGGGTTTTTTTAGCTTTGCTCTTAGACTTTACAATTCCATGTATCATAAAATGACTCTTCATGTTATGATTGTCCTGTTATAATTTTTTGTTAACTTGCTTTGAAATTTTCAGCTTTTCTTTCCTCCCTTTCCTGTTCCCTAGCATGTAGTCTCTGAAAGGAAGCTGTGTAATATAACTGTTTTTGATTATCAAAGATTAATTGTACAGAGAGGTTTATTGTAACACACATGTATGTGTACAGTGATCGTATCTACTCACTCTAAGACCTTTTACAATTTTTCTTACATTTAATTTTATATGTGAGTGTTTTGCCTTCATGTATGTATATCACATGTGTGCCTTGTACCCAGAGGTCGAAAAAAGTGGATGTCAGATCCCCTAGAACTGAAGTAACATAACTGTGACCCACCATATAGGTGCTGAGAACTAAACCCAGGTCATCTGCAGGAGTAACAAGTGCTCTTAACTGCTGAGTCATCTCTGCAGCTTTCAAGTACATCCTTTCTCCACATTTCCCCTTTTCATTTTAGTTTGTCTTCCTCCTCAGATTCCAACTTTGGGGGTGGGGAGGGAGATTTTGCTTTGGTTTTGTCTGTTTTAAGACAGTCATTCAGCAGGGCGTTGGTGGCGCACGCCTTTAATCCCAGCACTTGAGAGGCAGAGGCAGGCGGATTTCTAAGTTCGAGGCCAGTCTGGTCTACAGAGTGAGTTTCAGGACAGCCAGGGCTACACTGAGAAACCCTGTCTCGAAAAACCAAAAAAAAAAGACAGTCATTCTATGTAGCTCTGGCTGTCTTGGACCTATATAGACCAGGCTGGCTTCAAATCATAGAGATGTACCTGTCTCTGCCTCCCAAATGCTCCCATTAAAGGCTTGTGCCACCATGCCTACATATGTTTGGAGGAAGAGACGGGGAAAGGGGAAGAGGGGAGAAAGAGTATTTGAGTAGTTGGTTTCAGATGATAGACTACAAAGACACATGCCTACATCTGTTTAATGATGTCCTCTGTTACTTAACATGTGACCTCCAGGTTCCAACCATTTTCCTGGAGACAACAGGACTGTTTTCTTCTTTATGGATGAATAAAGCCCCATTGCTTATATGTAACACATTTTCGCTATCCAGTTGTCTTGGCCACTGTTCTATTGCTATGAAGAGACATTATGACCAAGGGAACTTATAAAAGAAAGCATTTAATTTCGGGCTTGCTTATAGTCTCAGGGGGTGAGTCCATCACCATAAGGGTGGTACAGTTAACAGATAGGCAGGCATGCACTGGAGCAGCAGCTGAGAGCTTGCATCAGAGCCAAAGCAAGAAGAGAAGAGAGGGAGGGTAGGAGAGGGAGGGAAAGAAAGGGAAGAGGAAGGGAGGGAAGGAAAGAGGGAGGGGGAAGGGAGGGAGAAAGAAGGAAGGCGAGAGGGAAGGAGGGGGGAGGGAGGGAGGGAGGGAGGGAGGGAGGGAGGGAGGGAGGGAGGGAGAGAGACAGAGACAGAGACAGACATTTGTGTGCTTCATTCCCAGTTGGTAAACTACTGGGATAGTTTTAGAAATACGTGTCCTTATTAGCATAGGAGTGCCCTTGTTAAACAAGGAGTGTCAATGGGGTGGGCTTTTAGCTTTGAAAAGTCTATTCCAGTCCCAGTCTCTCTCTACCTGCTGCTTGAGGACCAAGATATAAAGCTCATAGCTACTTCTCCAGCACCAGGCCTACCTGCATGCTACCGTGTTCCCTGTCTTAATGATAATGGACTTAGCCTGTGAAACTGTAAATAAGTCCCCAACTAAGTATTTTCCACTATAAGAGTTGCCTTGAACATGGTGTCTCTTCACAGCAACAGAAATCCTAAGAAACCTCCCCAAAACAGTTCTACCAGCTAGGGACCAAGCATTCAAATATATGATCCTATAGAGGCTATTCACTCAAACCACCATATTCCACTCCCTGGCCCCATGGACGTGTAGACATATATAATGCAAAATGCATTTAATCTAATTTCAAGAGTCCCATAGTTCTTTCACAGTCTCAACACTGTTTACAAGTCCAAAAACCAAAGTGCTGTCTGGGACTCAAAGCAATCTTTTAACTATAACCCCCCTGTAAATTCAAAAAGCAAATTACATACTTCCAACACACAGTGGCACAGAATACACATTATTATTCCAAAGAGGGTGGAAAGAGACATAATGAGCAAACACTGGACCAAAGCAAGACAGGTGAGCAGCAGGGCAGGCAAACTGTACCTCTTTTTGTCTGATGTCAATAGACTTAGACGGATCTTTGGATCTCCCACTCCTAGCTTTGCTGACTACTACACATTTTTCTGTTGGGATGGTTCCACTTCCTTTATGCAGCTTTCCCTGGAAGGCATCCCAAAGCTCTGACATCTCCAGTAGCTACAGGGTCTCCAACACAATCCAGCCCTCACTTTCACAGCTTCACAAGATGGCCTTGCCGGGCCTCCATGCTAGGACTGCCCTGCCACATACCTGGCCTTAATTGTGGAGGATGATTCCACAAACCCTTTACTCCTGTATCCTAAAAAACAATAATTCAGAACTAGGGGCCCATCCTGCCAGGTTCTTCTTTCTGCTTGGACTGGAATCTGGCCCCTTTTAAGTTAGATTTACACAAACTTTCCTTTGGAACAAATAATTCCTTAGGAACAAATAATTCCTTAAGCCTTTTTCTTTTCACAAGTTGTAGGGTTACCCTAATCACCCTAAGGACACCATTCCCCTTAGTCTGTCTCCCTATCTTTTTGAGCATTTAAGACTTGGCTCCAACATTAAATCTTCTGGGGCTCTTGCTCTACTCAAACTGGACATTTTGTCTTACTTTTTGCCCTGCATGCTCTTTGTCAATGTAGATCTGCATAAGATTACTGATAACCACATGACACAGTCAATATTAGGCTGTCTTGAAATCTCCTCTGCAAATGATATTAGTCTAAAATGGGGGTTCTCAACCTTCCTAATGCTACAACCCTTTAAGTTAAGTTCATGTAGTGATCCACAACTATAAAATTATTTTCATTGCTACTTCATAACTGTAATTATGCTACTGTTATAAATATCTGATATGGAGGATGGTCTTAGGCAGCTAGTGTGAAAGGATCATTCAACCTCTCCAGCAGACTTATCTGGAAAAGGGCAGAAAACAACCATATTCTTGGCAAAATATCAAAAAAATGGTCTCTAACACAGTTAAGCTAATACTGTTGCCCTCCGAAATCTCTCTGGGCCTCCACAGTCCATGCTCCTCTTAGGACTACTGTTTCCCAAGCTTCTACTAGGATGGCCCATGAAGCCTCACTTCAGCATTCAACCACTTTACTTGTCCAAAGTATACTTTCCTCTTATAAGAAGCATGATCAGGCCTATCTCAGAAATAGTCCAGTCCCTGGTACCAACATCTCTCTTA